ACTAAAACTCATTCATACCACCAGCATACTAAAACTCATTCATACCTCCAGCATACTAAAACTCATTCATACCACCAGCATACTAAAACTCATTCATACCACCAGCATACTAAAACTCATTCATACCACCAGCATACTAAAACTCATTCATACCACCAGCATACTAAAACTCATTCATACCTCCAGCATACTAAAACTCATTCATACCACCAGCATACTAAAACTCATTCATACCACCAGCATACTAAAACTCATTCATACCACCAGCATACTAAAACTCATTCATACCTCCAGCATACTAAAACTCATTCATATCACCAGCATACTAAAACTCATTCATACCACCAGCATACTAAAACTCATTCATACCACCAGCATACTAAACCTCATTTATTGTTGGAAATATCCAACACTTTTTTTCATTTTAGTACTTCGATAAATCATCTTTGTACTAACAATTACAATTTACTAACACTATACTAACCAGTAGTGTACTAATATCAATTCATATCCTATTGCGACCCAATTCTGTCATATCTTTCCTAGTATTTATGGCGTCGTGCTCCAAAGACCGCCATAGGGAATAATTTTCTACATATCTGTAGACTCAATAGAGTCCAGTTATTTACTTTCCTTTATTAACGATAATCGTTTATTAATAAGTTTACTTTAATTAGTATATTAAAGTTTTTTGCAATTCATTTATCCAGCTAGATAGGTGTTTCAGTGAATAATATTATAACACAAATTACTTACCATTTAAATATTTATCGTTTATTTTGCGCGGTTCATATTACCTTACTTGCATTACGAGAAAATATATTACGCATAACACATTTATTTATGATGTATATATTCGTCATACTCACTTCCTTCCACATTAAGAATTAAATAAATAATATAATTTATGCCCAGGGCCTCTACTGGGAGCTTTTGCGCATGCGTCAACCCGAGATGGAGGAAAGGGACTCTCGCCATTTTCGATCAACTGGCAGCAAAGTGTTCCGAAGCGCCCGACCAAATCTTCCAATTCTGCAAGCATCTCGGGGCTTCAGAATAAGGGCGCAGCTTACCCAATTCACGGACACCAATTTCGGCGGGCATTTTACCTCATCGTTTTATTGTTGAGCTCAGGTATATTCACTAAAGCAGGTGCCATGTCGTGGTGCTGTAGGCGATATAAAACACCCATGTAAGTGATGTGTCTACCCCTCCAATTATTTCATATCTTGCGTTTAAATGAGTGAATACTAGTGGAGTGGAAATTATAGAAGTTACTTATTTCAGCGTTGTGTAATTCAACTGAGGAGGCGTATGACTGTCTCCATGATCTCGTGTCCCAAGGATTACTATCTCATTGCTGGTCCCAACGTGTTGTAGAGGCTGGACGCAGTCTACGTTCCTCTGATACAGCTCAGAATTTACCAGTCTTAATATATAGATAGTGTCTTTTCATTATTGAGAGTCAGTGAATTTCCATTTATTTGCATATTAATTATATACTTGATTTAATTATTGATATGCATTAATATTTCAACTTTTCATTAACTAACACATATTTCACATATATACTATAATTAATAACTTATATTCATATTGTAGTAATTTGTAGTGAATTACCTACTAGCATTAGAGAATAGCCCCCAAAGTGTGTAGAGGGATTTGGCTCTATAATTTTAATTATCATTCTACTGTCCATTGCCCTAATATTCTTATGATCAATCACATTATATTATCCAGCATCTCAGAGCATCCTATATTATTCATTATTGGAGATCCATAGGCACTGCTTCTCTAATTTATTCAATTTAAATATTTAATTTATTTCTCCCATTAAGGGAGTGGTCCATCGAAATTTAATTATCATTATTATTAGTATTCTGGAACCAGATTTTTCCACATTCATACCACCAGCATTCTAAAACTCATTCATACCACCAGCATACTAAAACTCATTCATACCACCAGCGTACCAAAACTTATTCATACCACCAGCATACTAAAACTCATTAATACCTCCAGCGTACTAAAACTCGTTCATACCACCAGCATACTAAAACTCATTCATACCACCAGCATACTAAAACTCATTCGTACCACCAGCATACTAAAACTCATTCATACCACCAGCATACTAAAACTCATTCGTACCACCAGCATACTAAAACTCATTCATACCACCAGCATACTAAAACTCATTCATACCACCAGCATACTAAAACTTATTCATACCACCAGCATACCACAACTCATTCATACCACCAGCATACTAAAACTCATTCATACCACCAGCATACTAAAACTCATTCATACCACCAGCATACTAAAACTCATTCGTACCACCAGCATACTAAAACTCATTCATATCACCAGCATACTAAAACTCATTAATACCTCCAGCATACTAAAACTCATTCATACCACCAGCATACCAAAACTCATTCATACCACCAGCATACTAAAACTCATTCATACCACCAGCATACTAAAACTCATTCATACCACCAGCATACTAAAACTTATTCATACCACCAGCATACCACAATTCATTCATACCACCAGCATACTAAAACTCATTCATACCACCAGCATACTAAAACTCATTCATACCACCAGCATACTAAAACTCATTCGTACCACCAGCATACTAAAACTCATTCATATCACCAGCATACTAAAACTCATTAATACCTCCAGCATACTAAAACTCATTCATACCACCAGCATACCAAAACTCATTCATACCACCAGCATACTAAAACTCATTAATACCACCAGCATACCAAAACTCATTCATACCACCAGCATACCAAAACTCATTCATACCTCCAGCATACCAAAACTCATTCATACCTCCAACATACTAAAACTCTTTCATACCACCAGCATACCAAAACTCATTCATACCACCAGCATACTAAAACTCATTCATACTACCAGCATACCAAAACTCATTCATACCTCCAGCATACCAAAACTTATTCATACCACCAGCATACCACAACTCATTCATACCACCAGCATACTAAAACTCATTCATACCACCAGCATACCAAAACTCATTCATACCTCCAGCATACCAAAACTTATTCATACCACCAGCATACCACAACTCATTCATACCACCAGCATACTAAAACTCATTCATACCACCAGCATACTAAAACTCATTCATACCACCAGCATACTAAAACTCATTCATACCACCAGCATACTAAAACTCATTCATACCACCAGCATACTAAAACTCATTCGTACCACCAGCATACTAAAACTCATTTATATCACCAGCATACTAAAACTCATTAATACCTCCAGCATACTAAAACTCATTAATACCACCAGCATACCAAAACTCATTCATACCACCAGCATACTAAAACTCATTCATACCACCAGCATACCAAAACTCATTCATACCTCCAGCATACCAAAACTCATTCATACCTCCAGCATACTAAAACTCTTTCATACCACCAGCATACCAAAACTCATTCATACCACCAGCATACTAAAACTCATTCATACTACCAGCATACCAAAACTCATTCATACCTCCAGCATACCAAAACTTATTCATACCACCAGCATACCACAACTCATTCATACCACCAGCATTCTAAAACTCATTCATACCACCAGCATACCAAAACTCATTCATACCTCCAGCATACCAAAACTTATTCATACCACCAGCATACCACAACTCATTCATACCACCAGCATACTAAAACTCATTCATACCACCAGCATACTAAAACTCATTCGTACCACCAGCATACTAAAACTCATTCATACCACCAGCACACTAAAACTCATTCATACCACCAGCATACCAAAACTCATTCATACCACCTTCATACTAAAACTCATTAATACCACCAGCATACTAAAACTCATTCATACCACCAGCATACCAAAACTCATTCATACCACCAGCATACTAAAACTCATTCGTACCACCAGCATACTAAAACTCATTCATACCACCAGCATACTAAAACTCATTAATACCTCCAGCATACTAAAACTCATTCATACCACCAGCATACCAAAACTCATTCATACCACCAGCATACTAAAACTCATTCATACCACCAGCATACTAAAACTCATTCATACCACCAGCATACCAAAACTCATTCATACCTCCAGCATACCAAAACTCATTCATACCACCAGCATACCAAAACTTATTCATACCACCAGCATACCAAAACTTATTCATTCCACCAGCATACCAAAACTTATTCATACCACCAGCGTACCAAAACTTATTCATACCATCAGCATACCAAAACTCTTTCATACCACCAGCATACTAAAACTCATTCATACCTCCAGCATACTAAAACTCATTCATACCTCCAGCATACTAAAACTCATTCATACCTCCAGCATACCAAAACTCATTCATACCTCAAGCATACCAAAACTCTTTCATACCACCAGCATACTAAAACTCATTCATACCTCCAGCATACCAAAACTCATTCATTCCACCAGCATACCAAAACTTATTCATACCACCAGCGTACCAAAACTTATTCATACCATCAGCATACCAAAACTCTTTCATACCACCAGCATACTAAAACTCATTCATACCTCCAGCATACTAAAACTCATTCATACCTCCAGCATACTAAAACTCATTCATACCTCCAGCATACCAAAACTCATTCATACCTCAAGCATACTAAAACTCATTCATACCTCCAGCATACTAAAACTCAATCATACCTCAAGCATACCAAAACTCTCAGCAACAACCAGCTCCTCGTAGATGTGTCCTTGTACATTATTGGTCTCGTGAGGCAGGTCTCAACAACCAGCTCCTCGTAGATGTGTCCTTGTACATTATTGGTCTCGTGAGGCTGGTCTCAACAACCAGCTCCTCGTAGATGTGTCCTTGTACATTATTGGTCTCGTGAGGCTGGTCTCAACAACCAGCTCCTCGTAGATGTGTCCTTGTACATTATTGGTCTCGTGAGGCTGGTCTCAACAACCAGCTCCTCGTAGATGTGTCCTTGTACATTATTGGTCTCGTGAGGCTGGTCTTAACAACCAGCTCCTCGTAGATGTGTCCTTGTACATTATTGGTCTCGTGAGGCAGGTCTCAACAGTCTACAATATATAAACATTATTAAAATTGTTAAGCGACGCAGCGAGCTCTCGGAGGTAGTCCTTGTTCTCCTCACTGTCTTCGATCCAAATCGAAAGGTTTTCACCAGTGACGCCCCTCCGGTGAAGTCCTCGCAGGAGTCTCTCCCCACCCACACCTGTAATTGAGAGGGAACACTGAAGCCCACACCTGGCTACTCTTTCCACCCACACCTGCAAATGAGAAGCACCACTGAAGCCACACCTGGCTAATCTTCCCACTCATACCTGCAGATAAGAAGGAACTCTGAAGCCCACACCTGGATTCTCTCCCCACCTACACCTGCAGATGAGAGGGAACACTGAAGCCCACACCTGGCTACTCTCCACGCTAACACCTGCAGATGAGAGGGAACAGTGAAGCCCACACCTGGCTACTCTCCCCACCCAAACCTGTATATCAGAGTAAATACTTATTTCTACACCTGGAACCTCTCCAAGCGCTCACTTGCAGATGAGACAGAACAATAATGTCAACACCTGGCTCCTTCACACCTGGCTACTCTCCCCAGACACCTGGTAACTCTCCGAAGCATATCTGCAAATGAGAGGGAAGACTGAATCCCACACCTAGCTACTCTACCCTTTCCACACCTGTAGACGAGAGGCAACACTGTAGCCCACACCTGGCTACTCTCCACACCCACACCTGCAGATGAGAAGGAACAATGAAAACTACATGTGGCAACTCTCTACACCCACACCGGCAGATGAGAAGGAACAAATAAGTCCACACCCGGCTACTCTATCCACCCACACCTGCAAATGAGATGGAACACTGAATCCCACACCTGGCTATGTCACACACTCATGTCAAAGAAAACTTATATCAAGTAAATCTAGCTTGTATTAAACAAGACAATATTGGGCTAAATATTAATCTGTAATTTTATTAGCATTGAAGCTTGCCAATATTCTTTGTCGCTAAACGGTACTTATACCTTCTGTAATTCATGACTTTTAAAGATTTTTTTTAATCCAATGGAAGCACTGTGAATTAAACAACTGAGTTATAGATATTCACGTGTTAAAATATAGTCAATACGAACCGGTGAGAAGCGTGCTTTTGAAACTCAGATGACTGTACCCTCCTCTTGAGGGAGGACGCAGCTGAGCCGCCAAGTGGCAGCACCAGTCTATGGCGGGGTCGTCATCAGTGAGGTCCCGGCTGATGGTCAGGTTGAGCTTCCTTCCCTGGTACGGCAGACTGTCCAGGGTGTTCGGGTCCACGTAGCTCTTGGCGTCCAGGGTAATGTCTGAAGACATACACTGAGATACAGTCACTGTCGTTACTGGTATGTTCTAAGATATAACCAGAAGACATACTGAGCCATCCACTCACCTTACTGCTGGGTTTATTACCTGATGACAAGTCCGTATTTTGACCAGTATTAATAGCATCTAAACTATGTATTAATAGCTTTTAGAACTACAACTACGACAGACAACTGCCCTACAACAATCAGTACTGGTCAGAACAAACTCATTATGTCCACGAATAAAGGGCTTGCCGAAAAGGTCTCCCATTCAAACTATCACTAATAGAGTAACCTCATTCATCTTTGCCAACATACATGGACTGAAAACAAGAACAAACAACAAAGTACAGTTCATAAATGGCCTCCTCACGGAGTCAAATGCAGTATTTGGAGCTTTCACAGAAACTCATGCAGGGGAATTGTTGGACAGTGAGATCTGGATTCCAGGATATAACCTATACAGGTGTGATAGGAAGATTAGGTCACATGGAGGAGTGGGTCTGTATATTAGGGAGGACCTTGTATGCTCGGAGCTCCTAAACGTTACACATGAGGTGGTAGAGGTACTGGGATTAAAAATAGAGAAAATAAATTTAGTGATTATTCTAATATACAAACCGCCAGATGCAACGGCTGAGGAATTCACAGAACAGATAAGCAAAATAGAGAATAGCCTTTGATAATTTGGAGAACCCGATATCTGATATTATCTTCCTAGGTGACTTCAACTTGCCTAGTCTCAGGTGGAAAAATAGCAAACAATAATATTATACCAGGAAATCTATCAGGACCTAACCAACCACAGATTAGAGAACTACTTAGATTCTGTGACAAATTTTCACTCAATCAGCAGATATCGGAGCCAACGAGAAATGAAAATATTCTAGATCTGGTCTTTCCGAACAATGAAGACATTATCAGAGACATTACGATATCAGATACCACATACTCAGATCACAAGCTCATTGAAGTGCAAACGACCATCAATACTCAGAATAGACCGAAAACGTTGATAAAGCGAGAGGGGCTATTCAGTAAATTCAATTTTAATAATAAAAGGATAGACTGGGAGATAATAAACAGGGAACTTACAAACATTCCATGGGGAACTGTTCTAAGTAATACAAGTCCTACAGAAGGAATAGAAAAACTGACTTCAGAAGCGTATCAAGTCTGTCTGAAACATGTTCCTTTGAGGAAAGCCAGAAAGAGATCTAACGTAGAAAGAGAACGCAGACGACACTATAAACGCAGGAAAAAATAACGGAACTGCTTATGCAGACACGAATTTTCCGTCAAAGAAGGAATAATTTAAATAGGGAGATTGAAGAAATCGAGTGGAAATTGAAACACTCATATGAAACTGAAGAAAGGCAGTTAGAACAAAAAGCAATTCAGGAAATAAAGAAAAATCCAAAATATTTCTTCTCATATGCGAAATCAAAAGCAAAAACCACTGCCAGTATTGGACCTATTCGTACAAGCGAAGGTTCATACACGGATGACAAAGAAATTAGTGAAATCCTAAAAAAGCAGTATGAGGACATGTTTAGCACTCCAATAAACAACATGAAGGTGGAAGATCCAGACAATTTCTTTATGCGGGATATTCAAACCCCTGTAAATATAACTGATATAAACACGAGCGCACTAAATTTTGAAAAAAGAAATTGAAAACATGCCCATGCACTCGGCCCCAGGTCCAGACTCATGGAATTCAATATTTATAAAGAAATGCAAAGTGCCGGTAGCACAGGCACTCAGTATAGTGTGGAGGAAGAGCTTGGACACGGGGGAGATACCAGATGCATTTAAAGTAGCAGACATAGCCCCTCTACACAAGGGAGGGAGCAAAGCATTGGCAAAAAATTATAGACCAGTTGCACTAACATCGCACATCATAAAAGTATTTGAGAGAGTGATTAGGAGTCAGGTCACCAATTTCATGGAGACCAATGACCTTCACAACCCAGGCCAACATGGATTTCGAGCGTGAAGATCGTGCCTCTCACAGCTACTTGAGCACTACGACAAAGTCACTGAGGCATTAGAAGAAAAACAGAATGCTGATGTGATATACACGGACTTCGCAAAGGCTTTCGATAAATGTGACCATGGCGTGATAGCACACAAAATGAAGTCAATGGGAATAACCGGTAAAGTAGGACGCTGGATACTCAGTTTTCTGTCAAACAGGACTCAGCGAGTAACGGTCAACCATATAAAATCTAGTCCAAGTGCAGTGAAAAGCTCTGTACCTCAGGGTACAGTCCTTGCACCTCTGCTTTTCCTTATTCTCATATCAGATATAGACAAAAATACAAGTCACAGCTTCGTATCATCCTTTGCAGATGACACCAAAATCAGTATGAAAATTACCTCGGCTGAGGACATTGAAAAACTACAAGCAGATATTAAAAAAGTTTTCGACTGGGCATCAGAAAATAACATGATGTTTAACAGTGATAAATTCCAGGTACTCAGGTACGGTAAAAATGAGGACCTTAAACATAATACAGAGTACAAAACACAATCAAATGTACCCATAGTAGGAAAACAGCATGTAAAGGATTTGGGAACAATAATGTCTGACGACCTAACGTTTAAGGAGCATAACCAAGCAAATATTGCGACAGCCAGAAAAATGATAGGATGGATTATGAGAACTTTCAAATCCAGGGATCCCATCACAATGGTTGTACTCTTCAAGTCACTTGTGTTGTCCCGTCTTGAGTACTACTCAGTACTCACTTCCCCCTTCAGAGCAGGAGAGATTGCTGATATAGAGGGAATACAGAGAACATATACGGCACGCATAGACGCAATAAAGCACCTAAATTATTGGGATCGTCTCAAAGCCCTACAAATGTACTCACTAGAAAGAAGACGAGAGAGATATCAAATAATATATATCTGGAAGATACTGGAGAGCCAAGTACCAAATCTACACAGTAAAATAACAACGTACTGGAGTGAACGATATGGAAGAAAATGTAGAATAGAACCAGTGAAGAGCAGAGGTGCCATAGGCACAATCAGAGAACACTGTATAAACATCAGAGGTCCGCGGTTGTTCAACGTCCTCCCAGCAAGCATAAGAAATATTGCCGGAACAACCGTGGACAATTTCAAGAGGAAACTAGATTTATTCCTCCAAGGAGTGCCGGACCAACCGGGCTGTGGTGGGTATGTGGGCCTGCGGGCCGCTCCAAGCAACAGCCTGGTGGACCAAACTCTCACAAGTCGGGCCTGGCCTCGGGCCGGGCTTGGGGAGTAGAAGAGCTCCCAGAACCCCATCAACCAGATGACTTCTAAGCGGATTGAATTTTATAATTTATTGTTACCAGTAAACTTCCCTTCACACATTTTGGGGGTGTTTCATATTTTAATCTTATTGTAATTAAATGGTAGATTTAATTGTTGAGGTGTTATAGATCAAACAACTATATAAAGAATATTTCAAATGGTCTCAGCCGGTTTGTAGCGTTGACTGGTCATCTAACATCAGACACTGTCCACCATATGGTGTCCATTCTGTACCTGTACTAATGGCTGCTGTTGGTCCTTGTTTTATCCAGCTCAACTAAGTATCATGTGGTCACATTCACCTGGGGATACGATACACCATAATATCTGATGACTATATATATATGTACAGGTTTTACACACATGAATCTATGTCGTTATAATATTGAGGCTTACTCCTGTGGGTGGTGTTGTCCTATGCCTTAACGATTAATCCTAGATACATAAATAAATTGGCCAATATATTCTGAGCTAATAGACTAACCGAACTGGCACTTGCCTTCATCTTTCAAGATGCTGCAGCAAATAGTAACTATATTCCTTTGTTGTAAGTCACGCTGCTTTCTTTCACTTGCTGGGAGTAAATTTCTGTCGACTCTGTGGGAGAGCCCCTCTTGTGCGCTCTAAGTTCACCACAACGACACTCCATGCTTCTGTATATAATGGCTACCTCCTCTCCCTCCTTCCTCTCCCGAGGTTGCTTACATTCGAGATTCGGGAGGAAGAATGGGTTTAAGGTCAAATCTAACTATTTACTATATATTTAATTTAGTAGATTCATTTTATTGTGTAACAAGCCCTAAGACAGGTTTATTTTATATTACATTAGCCAGAAACGAGTCAAGAACGACGGTAACTGACCTCGGGAATGTAACCCTGTTTTCTGTAACTTTTCTATGACTAACTAATGTAAATTAGCTAGTCATTTAGTAGTTAACACTATTTTATGACTGATACATTAGAATTTGTATATTTAATGTGGAAATTTCCCACATAATTCCAGGGGTGAGAAACACGCGTCGGAGTTCAATATCTAGGGATGCCGAACACTTCATTGCTTCTCTTCAGAATTATGGAAATATTGTTTACGTTTCACTTTGTACTGATGTGTGGCAGTTCATGTAGGATGGATGTCTTGGACTGGAGCTGGAGGGATGAGAAGTCTTTGGGCGACTTCATTTCTTACTAGCCCCAAAGGAAATAATCTCTCATGTGTCTTGAGACTAGTGGTGCCTCTGCACTTTACTTACATTATTCTCAAGACACCCTCTCTGTAAGAGACTATACAGCCTGCAGGCCACTCTGAGCATGGACCGTCACTGTCCACCAGAACAATATCACCAGGTTTTAATTGAATTCAATTGTAGGGGTTGTTTGCCACGTAGTTATTCTCTCTCAGAGCAGTTACATACTCTCCAGTCCAAACTTTATTCCTCCGACTAATTACTCTTGACAGATATTTATAACTAAATCAAGTCACTCTCTCCGATATATTACGGATCTTCTGGTCCCTCGTCAGTGAGGGATGCTAAAGAGGTAAGAAAACCCTCCATACATCAAATGAGATGGACTTAATGGCTCACGTTGCGAGTTATCGTCAGAGAGGTAGGTCAGTGGTCGGTTATTGACCCGAGACTCAATTTCCGTGACAACGACTTGCAGCTCCTGGAGATCGATTTTTTGGCGATGTAGGGTTTTCCTAAGATAACGTTTGACTGTTCCCACCATTCGCTCGTAGAAGCCTCTGTACCATGTAGCTCTGGGGGATATAAACTTCCAGTGACAATGATGCTGATTCAGAGCAGTACATACAACTGGGTGA